ATTCACCTAGTCGCCCAGCTCTGTAACTTGTATGAATACTGAAATAAGATCACAATCATTTATAAAAGAATACTCTGAAATTCACTGAAAAGGTATCCAAAAATGCAATTCGACACTTTTACAAATGTTAGCTGTATTTAGTTCCCATTAATAATAATTAACGAGATTTGTTTATGCCTTCCTTTCAGAACTGTGACATGGAAATCCAGCCGCTGCCTCCAGAGCTGGGGAGACCTGCAGTGTCCGAGGAAGGTGCCCGTCCCTCCCGTCACCCCGCCAGCTCCAGAACCCGCTGGGCAGCGGAGCCGGGGCCCCGCGCCCTTGGGCAGCTGATTTGGCTGGCAAGGGAGGGCAAGAGCCTACTTTTCCTTCTATGAACTCCCCCAGCGACTGCGTCACTTAGGCAGTAATTAATTGGAGCTTACCTTTTCGAGCAGTACTTTTTGTTGGGAAAAGATGCGGATTGTAAGGCAACAGAAAACTATGAGACTAACTGCTCTGTCTTGTTGCCCTAATCCCAGCTCTGTTTAGGCAGTAAGAAGGCAAATTCAGGCTATGTGTATCTCATTTCTATGGCTTTTCTAGACAGCCACTGGTGTTCAGTGTGACAACTGCTCTGGGATGGCAGAGACATCTAGTGGGAATAAGATTTCTACTGTGGTGGCTCAGCAGAGAAAACACCCTTTAAACTACATTTTTTTCAAAACAGCATGTTCAAAAATGATGCCCAAGGGCCGAAAGGCTTCTCGTATCATTACTATCCCTGCAGCCACGCAGCCTCAGTCTGTATTGCATTTCTGAAGAAGCGAAACGATAGCCAAGTAGTAATTTTCACCTGGTTTAAATCGTGGCGTAACCATTTCCCGCTCACGAGGCGCACACCTTGACGGGGGGGAGCCCAGCTGGAAGCGAGGCACAGCTCAGCGCTGGCATTAGCACTGAGCTCCCTCCTCTGCTCTCTGGGCTGAGCTTTGACTCCTGCTTCCTACCAGAAAGAGGAGACGTATCGTGTCACTTCTCACCCCGGAGTGGCAATTCCAGAGTGACTCAGTGTCTAAGTCTTGGTCTCCAGCGTCACATAATCCGGCCCAGCCAATGCTCCTCTTTTTCCTACATCTTAGCAAAGAGGGAGACAAGGAGGGGAGGGAACAGTCAGGAAAAAAGAAATTAGGCTGCACCAAGTCAAAATTACAAATGGTGAATATTTTAAATTCTGAAATAATGCTATTTCTAGTGTTGCTTTTTATTACTGCTGCAAGCTGACAAGTCGCGGCAGCCCTGTGTCATATGTGGATTAAGTCAGAGGTTCAAGCTGATCTGTCCTGAAACAGGTTTCTAGAGTTCAAGGATCTCCACTAAAAATAACTTCCTTCTTGTAACTTGACAAATGGAAAACTGTAATCATCGAGAAGGTTGGTTTTGGGTTACTGATGGAAAAATGGCCTTCGAGATCATTCAGTCCTGCTCGTATCAGAGCAACTGCAGCAGCAGTAGCAAAATTTGATCTCCTGGCTGGCAGTGTTTTCTTAGATCTCATTATTTTAATAGCAAAACTCTTTCTAAAATGTCATAACAGTAATAAGAACTTAAAAACTAAACACAGCCCCTTTTCAAGCAATGAGCGTAATAAAAAAGTTGTGGAGATGCTGGATGACTCAAGAAATCTGAAAGGCCTAGTGAACATTTTACCTAAAAGTTATCAAATCAAAATCAGCCTGGTTTGATTTTAATTGATGGTGGCTGTTCAGCCGGCTAAG